AACTCTAATCCTTTATGCACTTCATTACAAACACAAGATAACGATCCCCTCTGATCCTTCAAGGATATGTTGGAATGAAGTGTACAGGATTAATGAAGTGAGGAATAAGATTATATGTTGTCAATGAAATATTTAAATAGACTGCCTACTTTTGACGAATATAGATTTCTTACCCTTGTCACCATTTTCTATCTGTGTCTGCAGAAGCAAGAGATGGAAGAAATCAGAATTACACCAAAATTTATTAAGTTGATTATCTCGAGCTGTAAGTTTCACGAAAGACATGGTCATATTCCATCTCGTGTGGTGAAATTGACCCGAAAAAAGTAAAAATAAAACAAAATTCACTCCTGGCAGCCCAAGAAAAGTGAAGGAAAATTAAAAAATCTTTAAGTTTGACAAGAAAAGTAAATCGAAATGTTTTGAAAGCAAGTAATTGAAATATGTACACTATTTAATATAACATAAAATCAAAATAAAGACATTATTACCAAAAATAATTAGTACTTTAAACAAAGTTGCTGAAGGAAGTTTTCCAACATTGTCAATAAAAGACGTGGGGTAACATCTTTATGTTTGCTCAAATGGTGTTCTATGATATCCATACCCATCAAAAAACTACAAATCAAAAAATCGACATCATTAACAGGAAGATCAATATCAATAATCTGTGAAAGTATCTACATATCAACAAAGGCTTTCATGAAAGCCACAACTTGCTTAGAAATCCAAAGATATACTCATAAAATACCAATGAGAAGCCATAAAAAAAAACTTTTCACACAAAACACAAGAAATTAAACATATGGAATAAACTAGAAAAGAGAGAAAAAAAATCAAGAAATCATAAATTGTCACAATGCATACCATGTTTAGTTCCCAAATTGTCAAAAATCATACCATGTTGACAATGATGAAAGACAAGTTGCATGTAGCTTACTATAGAACTTAACTAAAGAACATGTGATCTGGAAGCTGTTCACGAGGGAGTTGGGAGCTGTAGAATATCACAAACACTTGGCCTGTAATTGGATCATAAAATGTCGTTTCTCCCATTCTTTAGGGTTCAGGGTTCAACTATATGCATCCAAAAGGTATGATTAACAAATACAATAAGTGCATGTGTATGCACGCAGTAACACACGATTACAGGAGATATTAGAATGAACAAGAATTTTAGGTTATATTTAGTTCTTTTTCACCATAATAGTGTTGATTGCTATGCAATACTCATTACCACATATGCCACAAACATTGAAAACATACAATAGGAGATAAACAGATCATTGCAACTTGAACTTACCAGTAGTGAAATCCTTATATTCTTCGTATCCTGAATCCACAATTTCATTGGACCAACCAACTGGAACAGGCGCCAAGACAAGCATCTGATGGTCCAGTCGCCGACTTTCCACCTATTCACTTTCCTTATGTCTACTCAAAAAATGGGTAAATCTACTTGCTTCAATTAGTTCACATTCTCTATATTCCATAAGCTTAAGTGGAAGAACTTTATTATCAATTTGAACATCAAATTCATATGCTACAGATTTACCCACTAACGAGCCACCCAAATCAAACGAATATCTCTCTGTTGGTAATCCAAATCCCTTCATAGTTGCCTACTTCAAATCCTATTACAATCATCAAAACAGTAAACATCCAGAAACCCCCAATTTTTTTTTAAAAAAAAAAAATCAACAAACAAATTATAAAAATGAATTATATTTATAATCAAACAGTAAAAACAAACTAAAAAAAATTACCGTCCTGTATCTGAAAAATGAGTCTTCCAATAAAGCCATCGTTTATGACCAATGAAGAACATTAACCCTAAGAGGTAGCTTGCTTTGGGTTTGCTCTTCAATGGTCACTAGTTTGAGTCCTCTTAGGGCCACTGAGGTAAGTATCCCGACTGTAAAGTACAGGGCCCGTGGGATTAGTCAAGGTGCTCGTAAGTTGGCCCGAACACCCACAGTCATAAAAAAAGAATACCTATGAAGAAAATTCATTCAAAGGTTCATCTTAGCAAAATTGACATTTAAAGTATAAGTCAAAAATTGTAAACCAACAATTCCGTCCATCTGAGGCTCAAAAAAGCATTCAAAATCCTACTTTGGTGTGAAAAGTAAAACGCTACCTTGATTGAATATGAAAACAATAAAATGAATACTATCCACCTTAAAAAAATTACTCGATAAATTCAATCAAAAATTTTACCGAAAATGTGCTAATGAAATTTTTGTTTACAGAAATGTGCCAAATCATATCCTTGCTTAAATAATTTATACAAAAGAACACCCTCCATATTTATTTGCTTTTCCTTTGCAAGAAATTGAAAACATAATCTCAAAATTCAAGATTGTTTAGTTATATTTTCAAATCAATAGTAGGATTGATTGGCATACCTTGAAGATGGCTTGAAGAAGAATTCAAAATTTGTAGTAGATTCTGCCAAATTTTTTTGACCCAAAATCGACGTTATGTCAAGGAAATAATTGGATTGCGCCCCAAATTACAAGAAATTTTGGGGCTCAGAAAACAGGTTTGTGCCACCAATTGATGAGACTAAGACTAAAAAGAGGGAAGGAATTATTTGGTGAAAAAGTTTTGGAGGCAAAGGGGGGAGAAACTTATGTGGTTTATTGAGGGTTTTTTCATTCTTGATTTTGTTAGGGGAAAAAAAGAATGTATTTTCTTATTCTCTTTCAATTATCTATAGGAAAATTGCAACAGCGGTCCCTAACCTTTCACTTTTTCTCAGACTTTTTCCTAACCTTCAATTTGTGTCATTCACAATCCCAAACCTTTCAAAAATATGCACCTGAGATCTAAATAGATGGAAACTATCTAATTGACCAAGGAAGGTGGACTTTGACTGATTTTGACCAAATTGAAATGGGTAAAATAGTGAATTTGCTATTATATACATAAAATAATTTGAAAACAAGAAATAAAATAAAATAAAAGAGAAAAAATTAAAAATCATCATCTTCCTCATCTCACCCACCTCCAAAATCGCCGCTACCCATCGTCTGTCGACCATCACAACTGCCACTAGCACCACCCTCGCCCCAACCCAACAAAACCAAAAATGACTATATATGATAATAGATGCCTCTTTTACCTTCATATTCAAGGCCATTCCATTAAAATGGACGTGCGCCTTCTGCTAGCATCTAGCCTTGAATAGAACCCAGTAAAAGAAGTACCAAAGCACTGCCAATTATATCCACAAAAGTTTATGCTTTTTGAAATAAAAGTACTAATTGCAGTTTCAATGTCGCAACTTAAAGAGAAATTTGCAAGTAATCCGTTGATATCATGGTCCGAGCACCAGCACTTGTCCAGTCAAATTCTGAAACTAAAGAACCAAATGATGGAGCGTATGAACTAGATGATATTGAAGCGATGTATAGGTATGTTGGTGGTCGTCGACACGGTGGGGGTGGGTGGATTTTGAATTGGTTTGGTTGAAATTAGATGAGTAAAAGACATGAAATTGGATGATGATAAGTTGGTGTAACAACCGCCTTCAGTGGTGATGCCAGTTGGAGACACCTTTAGTGGTGGTCGGTGGTGGCGATGGGAAAACGGGTGGTAGGTAATGGCGGCTGTTTTCTTTAAGATTTGATTATGGTGGGGTGGGGGAGATGGGGAAGACAACGTGCTTTTAATTTTTATTTCTTTTCTCTTTTATTTTATTTTGATTTATTTTATTTCTAATTTTTAAATTCTTTTATTTATATAATAAAAAATTTACCATTTTACCCATTTCAATTTGGTCAAATCAGTCAAAGTCCACATTCCTTGGTCAACTAACGGTCAATTGAATGATTTCCATCCATTTGAACCTCAGGTGCATATTTTTGAAAGGTTTGGGGTTGTCAATGGTACAAATTGAAGGTTAGTAAAGCCTGCAAAAATGTGAAAAGTTAGGGACCGATGCTACAATTCTCCCATTATCTTTTCATTATACATGTAAAACAGGGGCTTCAAATATGTCGAACATGGGTAATCATAGTAGGAACTAAAATAAAAATAAAAACAAAAATAAAAAGTTTCCCGTTGATTATTAGCATACGAACATGTCAAATATTTTTTGTTAAAAAAAATAATATATATATATATATATATATATGTACACACACACACAAATACATATTATCATACATTATGCATTTTAGAACCGAGGGATAAATACATAATTTTAATAAAGAATAAATAGGAGATAGAAAATTAAAATATAATAAAAGAAAAAAAAAGTAGGAAAAAGGGCTTGCAGGTCAACCATGCACGGTGCACCTACCCACTACCTAGATTTTTTTTTTTTTGTGTACTTAATTGATTTATTTATTTATTTTTATCACTTTCTCATGAAGAAACGATGGAAAGAAATTTTGATTTGGCACGTGAGGTGCACCTGTTTTAAATTTTGAGTGATGATCGCATTACTCTGGAGAATATATATTCTTAATTTCTAGATATATAGAATCTCATTAAAAATAANTTTTAAATTTTGAGTGATGATCGCATTACTCTGGAGAATATATATTCTTAATTTCTAGATATATAGAATCTCATTAAAAATAATAACAGTTATTCTTAATTCAGTATGTCATGTCCAAACATGAAATAGAAATATAGTTCTTAGCGAGTACTGAACATAACAACATTTCCAATTATAAACTATACAATAAGGCAAAGATGAGTAATATATTCATATAGTTGACTCAAAAAACTTTTGCTCTTCTCATATGTGTAGGCCTATTACTTCCATTTTGTCGTACTCTACTTTTAATTTGCTTGTTTGTAAAATATGTGATCCACATTCGGTATCTATTGTTCAAATGCCTAAAGAAGCAAACAAGTTGACTTCCATCAAATAGTTGTCTGAATTAGAAGCTTCACCAAGTATCTTACTCTCCGGTTCAGTTATAAAAGCATTATAACCTTGCTTTCAATATCCTTATATAAGGATACTCAAGATTATCTTGTGAAGAAACTTCCCGATCACCTACCTTTTGAGAATAATTCTAAAAAACGATATCAATCCAAGAAATTCAATTCAATGAAATTGTTAGCATCAATTATGTTATGCTAGGATCCGTTTTGTTCGATTAGAACCTTGAGATACTTTAACCAGTGATATCTCTTTGATGTGAAACTTCTGTAATTTCTGAGCTATGATGCATATTGGTGTTTCTTCGTAACTTAGGTTTAGCAAAATATCTAACTGTTGATGTCTCACCATATGAATTGGGTCAGGGACATAGTTTCTGAACATTGATATATGAAAGACATTGTGTAAAGCTGAAAGCTTTGGTGGTAAAGCTAACTGGTATGCAACATTTCCAATTCACTTTAAAATTTCAAAACGACCAATGTATCTTGGACTGAGCTTAACCCTCTTAACAAATCGTAGTACCCCCTTCATGTCTGTAACCTTTAAAAGTACTTTATTTCCTATCACAAATTCCAAGTTCTTTCTCCTTTTAGCTACATAATTCTTCTACCTATTTCGAGCCTTCTTCGTGCTAACTCTGATTTTTTCAATTTCTTATATTGTTTGCTCCACAATTTCTAGGCCAAAGATCTTACGTGCACCAATCTCATCCCAATAAATAGACGATCTACATTTCCTCCCATATAAAGTTTCATAGGGTGTCATGCCAATAGAGGCTTGGTAGCTATTGTAATTTGCAAACTCAATTAAAGGTAGATGTTTTTCCCAATGTCCACTAAAATCTAGGACACATGAGCACAACATATCCTATAATGTTTGAATTTTCTATCAGTTTGAGGATAAAAAGCTGTACTAAAGTTCAATTTAGTTCCCATAGCTTGATGTAAACTCTTCTAAAAGTTTGATTTGAATCTTGGGTCCTTATTGGATACAATTGAAATTGGGACACCATGCAACCTCACTACTTCTTTAACATATAATTGTACAAATTGGTCCATAGAATATGTCGTGCGAATAGGTAAAAAATGGGCAGACTTGGTTAAACGATCGACAATACCCTTTTGATGACTCTTAATCCAATCATGGAAAGTTGGTTAAATTGAAAGTGCTGCCTTTTGAGTAATAGCATCAAAAGAAGTAACGACCACTTCGAGACTTGATCTCTCAAGATCTCTCTATAAGGCTTTTGTATTATTAACATCGCCACTTGTCTCGTTGTTTTCCTACTTAAGGCGTCGGCTACTACATTTGCCTTTCTTGGGTGGAAATTGATTTCACAGTCGTAATCTTTTACTAGTTCAAGCCATCTTCTCTGTCTCATGTTCAACTCCTTTTGAGTAAAGATATACTTGAGGCTCTTATGATCTGTATAGATTTCACACTTCCTTCCGTACAAATAGTGCCTCCAAATTTTAAGGACATAAACTATCGCAGCCAGTTTTAGGTCATGTGTGGATAATTTTACTCATAAGGCTTCAAGTATCTCGATGCATAAGCAACTACATTACCTTGTTGCATTAAAGCACATCCAATACCTAGATCGGATGCATCACTGTCTATTACAAAACCTTCCAATTCTCCAGATATGGTTAAAACTGGAGCATTGATTAATCTCCTCTTTAACTCCTCAAAAATGCATTCGTATTTCTCTATCCATCAAACTTTACACCTTTATGAGTTAATGGTCTTGATATTTTGAAGAATTCCTCAAAGAACCTTCTGTAGTATCCTGCTAAACCCAAAAAGCTATGAATATCTCCTACATTAGTTGGCCTTGACCAATTCAATATTGCCTCTACATTATTGGGGTCTACCTCTATTTCCTGTGATGTGAGCAAATGACCTAGAAAGACCACCCATTCTAACTAGAACTCATACTACTTGAATTTTGCAAAACGTCTTTTTTTCCTGAGAATCTCTAGTATAATTCTTAAATGTTTTTTGTGCTCTTCTTCACTCTGAGAGTATATCAAGATATCATCAATGAATACAATGAAAAATTGATCCAAGTATTCATGTAAAATGCGATTCATCAAGTCCATGAAATCTTCAGAAGCATTTGTTAAGCCAAATGGCATAACTAATAACTCGTAGTGACCATACCGAGTTTAAAAGTCTATCTTTAAGATGTTACTAGATTTGATCCTCAACTGGTGGTATTTCGACCTTAAGTCGATCTTTGAAAACACTCTAGCCCCTCATAGTTGATCAAACAAGTCTTCGATTCTGGGCAGAGGATAAATCCTTTTTCCAACAATTCCTCTATTTGGGCCTTCAGTTCCTGTAACTCCTTTGATGTCATTCTGTAAAGAGCCTTAGAAATGGGCATGGAACTGGAAACTAGATCAATCATGAACTCTACTTCCCATTCTGACGACATTTCATTCAAATCACCAAGAAATGCCTCTAGGAACTCTCGTACCACCTTAACATCACTCACTTTCAGTTTTTCATCTTCCTTAGCTACTGTTGACATAAAAAATCCACTACAATCTTCTAATTTCAAGAGTTTCTTAGCCTTCAATGTCGAAATGATATGAGGTAGGGTTTTTGTCTTAGTTACTAAAAGACGACGTTCTATTTCTCCAGTATGTTTAAATACAACTTCTCATTCAAAACATAAAATAATTGCGTGATTCTCAGACAACTAGTCCATTCCCAAAATTATGTCAAACTCTTGCATGTTTAAGACAT